AAAAAGTGAATAACAGTTTTAGAATCACACCCATAATAAGCTATGTTATCCTTTTACTCCAAGCTACATGAAAAATATAAGTTATATCCCATAACTTAGCCATAATAACATTAGTAGATCCTAAAATCATCAAAATCCACCTTTCCGATTGTCATTCTCTTCCCTTACAACCTAGCACAAGAAGCACGGTTCTCACCTTGTCTAACTGAGCTATCACAATTAGCATTAGACCATCTAGGTTAAGGAGGAAACCATTTCACATTTTGATAGGCATATTTATTAGAGTTGTTAATATAGGTTCTGGTCTATTTCGGCCCACCTTGAAAACGGGTCGAGGTGGGCCAAAAAAATGAAAATTTTAGTAATGGGTCAAAAAATGTAACCTAGCCCATCCGGGTTGAACCCGTGATGAGTCGGAATGTCCACCTAACTTACTTACACTCCCATCAACCCAACCCACTTAACCCATTTATTATTATATATGGATTATTTTAACAAGCTGTCATTTTTTTGTCGATAAAGATAAAGTTAATGTTAAACAACATGAAATTACTATAAATTTATTTACTCAAACCTATAATGAAGTTTAATATTGATTAATAATCACTCTTATAAAAGGATTTTCATTTTTTTGTTTTGATTATTTAAAGTTGTATTAAGTTTATTGTTATATACATGATATTTAGTTTGATAATTTTTACTTTAGATTATAGATTATTTTATATCAAAATTTATTTTAAATTAATTTTTTTAAAAAAATTAGGTGAATTGGTGGATCAACTCGTTTAACCCACCAACCCATGATGGATCGAACCATTTTAGTAATGGGTCAAAAAATGTAACCTAGCCCATCCGGGTTGAACCCGTGATGAGTCGGAATGTCCACCTAACTTACTTACACTCCCATCAACCCAACCCACTTAACCCATTTATTATTATATATGGATTATTTTAACAAGCTGTCATTTTTTTGTCGATAAAGATAAAGTTAATGTTAAACAACATGAAATTACTATAAATTTATTTACTCAAACCTATAATGAAGTTTAATATTGATTAATAATCACTCTTATAAAAGGATTTTCATTTTTTTGTTTTGATTATTTAAAGTTGTATTAAGTTTATTGTTATATACATGATATTTAGTTTGATAATTTTTACTTTAGATTATAGATTATTTTATATCAAAATTTATTTTAAATTAATTTTTTTAAAAAAATTAGGTGAATTGGTGGATCAACTCGTTTAACCCACCAACCCATGATGGATCGAACCAGATTTAAATTTTTTGAACATTAAGATTGGTGAGTTGGATCGGATCAACCCACATAAAAAGTGGATTAAGGTGGACCGAGTCAAACTAACATATTTTAACAGCTCTAATATTTATCAATTACTCCCTCCATTTTTTTTTCTATAGTCGTTTTGTCAGATTTTGTTATTTTTTTTTCATTGTCAGAAGTATCACCATTAAAACGAGTATAATCGCGTAAATTCCTATTGGCATACTCCATGCATCAAGATTATTCTAAGTTAAAAGATTGGGGCAATAAGTAATAGTCGTCAAGATTTCGGCTTCAATGAGTAACCGCCGAAATCCCGACTTCACTTACGATCCAAAAAATTCTAAGTAACAAAAACGGTTTTTACATGTTGGGTTCTTGAACAATAGTGATCGCCTCAAAGCCAATTACCTTTGTAAATGGATCACTATTATTTTAAGTTATCACGGGGTTTGATAAGAACCTAAATTCCTTTTAGCATAAGTCACGAAAAATACATTCGATGACCAAATATAATCGGCCATATGCCGAGTTCAACAATGTTTTTTTTTTTTTTTTTTGTTTTGCGGGGTTGGATCACCCTATTGCTGATTCTATGTAATTGGAAAGAAAATTTGACCAAACAAATCGCCTAAGCTCCGAAAACAAACGGAAAATTTTTAGCATAAGTCATGAAAATTTTTCTAAATGAGTCGGTGATAATCCGATTTGTATAATGAGTTGAAAACCTTGTAAAATGAAATTTACTAGACCAATGGAAACTTTCCTAGTTGAAGATTAAAATATTCCGAAGCGAGTCGACCAAATTCTGAGTTGCATAACAAACAAAATTTCTGTCAGAATGAAATTTGCGTAGCCATTCGGTAAAATTCCGAATCGTAAAAAAGAAGTGGAAATTTTCCAAGTTAAGCGTTAGATCTTACGACCCCAGTCGTTCCAATTCTGACTATTCAAAAAAATTTGTACGTTTAGTCGGCCAAAGTCTGATTCGCATAATGTATAGAACCAAATTTAATACGGCCGGTCGGCCATATTCCGATCCATGTGATGCCGTGTTGCAAGATGAATGACAATCGGTCTAAAGCCGTGTCGAGTTTGTGCTCGTCCAGTCGAATTTGAACCGATCAATCACGATTTTTGGTCTTCGAGTTATTTATACTCGCCCAGTCAGATTTTTGCCGACAATCACGAGTTTGTCTTCGAGTTATTTATACTCGCCCAGTCGGACTTTTGCCGACAATCACGAGTTTGTCTTCGAGTTATTTATACTCGCCCAGTCGGACTTTTGCCGACAATTTATAATAAATTATATTTAAAATTTATATAATAAATATTTTTAAACATATAAATTATATTTAAAACTTGTGATAAATAATTTATACAATGATATAAGATTATTTTTAATTATTGATAATTTATTTAAAAATATTAAATTTTATTCATAAATAAAATTTGAATTGGATAACATTTTGTGAAAGATAACCCCTTAAAATATTATTGTCAAAGAGAAACTTCTACAAATCTTCCCATCTAAAAATGCTTTAAAATATTTTGTAAAAAAAAAAGAAGAAGAAAGACACTAAAAAAAGTGTTGAATGGTATCAATAAAAAATTCACACTTTTTTTAACTAATAATACTAATAGTAAAGGGTGTTAAAGGAGTGACAGACGAAACATATGATATTTTTATACTGGTTCGTTTTAACTACTATTTAGAGATGACATTCAATTCTCAATTTAACTAGATTGAATTTCGGTATTTTAAACAAAATAAAAATATTATTTCAACAAGTTACTTATGAGTCAAACCTAAGTGTTATTTGAATTGTTTCTTCAAGTAATCTACCCAAGTGTTCTTTTCACATAAAGCCTCTTCGAACTTAAACAACGAATATTATTTTACAAGCAAGCTTCTTTATACTCAAATAACAAGTATTCTTTTAGCTCAAATCCAATAACTTAGAGTTACTAAGATTTACAAGTTGTTTTGTCTTCTTATCAAGACATGAAACAACATTTTAAGTACAAATAACTACAAAAAGAATAATAAGAAGTCCTAAAAATATTTCTTCAAAGGTTCATCAATAAGTCATCACATTCTTTCTAAGCATGAAGTTTCTTATATAATATCCCGGATGAAGATGATTGTCGTAAAACCTTGAGGGTTACTCATTAACTTGTTTTGTTTGTCTTCATTACAACTTCCTTGAGGTAAGAAGTGTCTGTTGATACATTAAATCTTTGCATTAATTGTGTTTTACCAAATTTTCATTTCTTATCTGATTAAGAAAACTATTTATTAGCTTTAGGATAACAAACAGACAATATGTAGTGTGTGTCAACGAGCAAGTTTTGCATCAACTTTTACCGACTTTCTTTATGATTTTAAGGATTTGTTTGTCCTTGTTTCTTGTGCAAAACATGACTTCATTCACTTTAACATATTTGTGAGTTTCAACGAGTTTTCTTAGTTCGATCTATCAGTGAATCAATTTAGACATACAACAAGTAATTGTTATTCATTATAAATGCTATGCATATAAAACTTTATGTTTCGTTTGATGACACATCATTTATCTATTGATTTGCATCTTATGTTTTGTCTAATTTGTATTTTGCACAAATATTTTCTCTTATAAAAATGTTATGTTTGTTATCATTAAAATTTGAAAGTTTAAGGGATCCAAAATTAATTTTTAAATTAATATTTTTCCTTAAATAGAAACTCATAAATATATTCTCATGCGTTAAATAATTATTCGTGTTTAATATATAAGAGTGAATTAATATAATTTTGTATTAATATAATTTTGTATTATGTAAACACTTCACTATCCTCACTTTCCTTCACATTCATTACTATCCTCACTTTCCTACACATTCATTATTTATTCACTTTCCTACACATTCATTATTTATTTGAATGTGGGTAAACTTTACTTTATGTGTTAGTGTCACTTATATTTTTAATATTAAATGAATCATCCATTAGTTAACAAGTAATAACCTAATATCAAAATAAAATATATATTTTATCTTTAAATTTTAAAATTCAAATATCATTTTTCTCCATCATTCTTATATTTACTTCAATATTTTTTTAATCTCTAATATTTGAATATATGATTTTCATGTTTATTACAATGTTTTTTTTAACTATCAATAGTTAAAAATAATTTATATTCCAATATAATTTATTTATCATAAACTTTAATTATAATCACTCATGTATATAAATTATAATATTTTCTACTTTGTAATGTTTCACTCTCTTATATTCATTTTTATTTGAAAATTCTCCCCTAATTAAGAGGTGAATTTTATTTTGTGTCTTTATATTTTTCATATTAAACTAAAGTTATATTATTCAGCATGTAACATCAAAATGAAATAAGTATTTTATCTTTAAAATTAAAATATTAACCTAGACGGTACACTTGTCGGGTTTTTACCTAGACGGTACAGTATATTAACGTATCACCACACTGTCATTGAAAGATCAAGAGACAGAATACAGGGTTTATTTATCATATCATTTCCCAGCTATGGCATGATTTGGTGATTCAGAAATACACATTTCTAACAATCAGTAGAATAACAATTAAAGGAGATGGATTGTTCTTGAATGAAGATCATCAATTGAATCACAACGTTAATACACAAGAATTCAACAAAATAAACCTTCCTAGGGAATGAAATAACAGAAGTAATTCCATCTGTGAGAACTGTTTCATGCACTCTTAATTATAATTATATACCACTGAATGTTGCTTCCTGGTAAAAACAAGTTCAAGAAATCAATTTGCTTGGAACAAAGGAAAAATGGAAAAGTTAACTATGGAGTTTGCGCAGCTGATTCCTCCTTGGATCTGTTCTCTTCCGAAGATGGCCGGTTTTCCGAATCAGATAGCCGGATCTCTTCGATCATTCTCACTACATCCTCCATGCTAGGCCTCAAATCTGGAACCTTTGCCACACAGGCCATGGCAATTTGCAACATTTGCACCATTTCTTCTTCAATGTTTTGGTACCTCATTAGCTCCACATCAAAAACCTCAGCTGTCCACTCCTCCCTAACAACAGACTGAACCCACCTGGGGAGATCAACCATGTCATCCCGTCCTGGAGACTGTTGTGGCGCTTTCCCGGTAAGCATTTCCAGAAGAAGGACACCAAAACTGTACACATCTGACTTGTGTGTGTGCTTACGGGTTTCAATCACCTCCGGAGCGCGATAACCTGCGGCTCTAGAAGGGGTTGCAGGAACATTCATAAGCGGGGTGAGGCCAAAATCAGAAATGCAGCCATCATTATCTTGGTTGAGGAGGACATTCGAGGATTTGACATTTCCATGTGTGAATTTTGGACCCCCAACAGAATGTATGTGAGCAATTCCTCTGGCAATTCCAGCAGAGATTTTTATTCGGGAGTTCCAATCTAATGGAGTTCTTCCACTTGCCCTGTTACCTGTCATCAAAGTCAAATTGATTTAGCTGACTCGGCTACATATATACCATAAGGTACATTACATCAACAGGTAAGAGATTATACTGAAAGACTTCAAGCATTAGAGTAATCCCCAACATATGATAACAAATTTAATTTCTTTCTACTGCTTTCATTGCAGTAAATAAGAAATCCAGTGTAAAGGTGCAAAACAGATAGCGTAAGTTGGGTTTAGACTGTTTAAATTAGTTAGCAATCCAGTGTAAATCCAGTCCAAACAGAAATGCATACCGTGCAAGAGGGTAGATAGATTGCCACTTGGGATGTAGTCACAAACCAAAAGCTTCTCGTCCTTGGAATAATAATAAGCACGAAGTGGCACAACATTTGGGTGCTGTCCAACCCTTCCCACAATCTCCATCTGCTGTTCAAATTCCCTTTTGCCTACCACAACTTCCTTCAGCCTTTTCACCACAACGGTTGTTGACTCCTCCAATATAGCCTTGTATGCAGTACCATAACTACCCTTTCCAAGAACTTCAGCTGAAGCTCTCAGCAAATCCTCAAGATCAAAATTATAAGAACTGCCCTCAAAGAAAACCAACTTGTTTTTCTCAGGTTCTTGCACCCCACTTCCAAACTCTTCTTTTGGCTTCTCACTTCTCCCACCACTAGGACCCTTGGCTTTAGCTACTCTGGGGCTTCCATCATCTTTTTTCTTTAAACAGCAAAGAACAATGACAAGAGCTACAAAAAGTAATAGCACGCCCCCACCAACAGCAATTGCAATGATAGCTACCTTACTCAATTTATTTTTGGAGTTATGTCTTGCCGGAGGTGATGATGGGGCAGGAGTTGACGAGGGAGGAGTGGGGGAGATTATAGAGCATGATTTTAGAGGTAATCCGCATAGAGAGTTACCCTCAAAGGAAGAATTTGGGAAAATCTGAAGAGCAGCAGGGATAGAGCCATTCAAATGGTTGTAGCTTAAATTCAAATGCCTGAGCTTAGTGACATTGAGATTTGGAATATGTCCAGATAGGGAGTTGTTCTGGAGGTTCAATCTAGTTAGTTGTGTTAGGTTTTGTAATGTCTTTGGAATAGCACCGGTGAAGGAATTGTATGACAAATCAAGTACATTGAGGTGGGTGGACAATGAGGTAGGTATGTCACCAGAAAGATTATTATGCTGAAGGTAGAGATATTGTAGAGAAGGAAGAGAGGTAATATCAGGAGGAAGACTTCCACTGAGTAAGTTGGCACGGAGGCTGATATTTTTTAGTGAGTCAATCTTTCCAATTGTGTTGGCAGGGATGGTGCCGACTAGTCCAATTCCAGGGAGTCGGACAGAAACAACACGAGTGCCATTTGGATTGCAAGTGATGCCTACCCAAGATGTACAGATAGGGGTAGCTTGATCCCACTTAAGGTTCCGGCGATGGGGGACAGCAGAAGCAAAATCAAGAAGGGCTTGCTTATCAGAACTTAAGTCAGCAATAACCATAGGACAAAGAATAACAATGATGAAAAGGAAAGGGTGCATTAGAGGGGAGTAGAACTTCATGGAGCGTTTTTTGGTTGTAAGGTATAAGATATTGACACTTGAATTCAAAGTAACCTCTGCCATCCTTCATATTTTCCTGGTTTAGCACCATGACCACAAATCAAAGAGAGGATCAGTAGCATGAAGAAGCAAGCACTAAGCAATATATCACAAAGATGAATTGAAGAATTATAGTGACAACATTTCTGAATGTATTTGTAGAATAATTCTAGTTAATTATAAAAGGCACGTCTCAAATCTCAATTAACCAAGAAACATATAAGAAGTTGCAAGCCCTGGATAAACTTTCGCAATCTCTTTCTGCCTACTGTAGGATTTTCATTATCATCATAAAGATAATGGAGGGAAAAAGTTTCTGTGATTTAAAAAATACTTAATATTTTGAAAATGCCTTGTGTAGCTACAATTTTGCAGAGTGACAATTACTGACAACAGAACAACAATAACCTAATGAAAACATGCCTCATGGGGCATGTTATCTACATCAGTCGCAATTCTTGTTTAAAACAAAAGGAGTGACTAAATGAAAAAATAAAATAAAAATAGATAGTACATTAAATTGAATGAAAAGAATTGCATCATTCTCAGTTTTAAAAAAGTGGAGATTAAAAGATATCAAATGACAACTATACCACCAAGGAGAATATTCAAGTTACAGTTGAAACTAAGTATCTCCATACCTAAATCATAACTGCAAATCAATTACAAAGAGTAATAAGCAGTGCAGAACTGAAGATGACTATCAAAAGGAATATGTCAAGACAGCGTGGTCAGGAAGGGAAAGGAAAATGAAAAACATTTGGTCCATCAAATGACCAATTACTCCAAATTATGCAGACAAAAGCTACTAGTCAAGTGGTCAAAACATTAACTAATTTCCAGAGAAAGAAGCTTTTCTATAAAAAGGTGCAAGTACAAGGCCAAGAAGATGAACACCAAAAGAAAAAAGAATCCAAAGATTTTAGCTGAGGAAGAAAGTAAAAGAACTCAAGAACAACATTTAGTGTCAAATTAAGTCGTTGGAGTAGGTAATTTGAGCTGTCTTGTGACTTTATAACTTGAACTAACATTTCTGCAGTTAATTCTAAGAAACATATTTTCTTGCCAACCAGTAACCAATGTAAGCTTCCTTCCGGACTATATTCTACGCGGAAGAGGAACTACCAGAATTTCTACATTGAATAGAATTCACGAGTTAAGAACCCAAATTTCGTTCACATGCCACATTTAACATATTAGGAAGGAAATTAAAAGACCAATGGCAGTCAAGGTTGTCCAACAACTAAATTTTTATGAAAACAACGACTAAAAACAAAACACCTTCCATAAAACAAAAACAGAACCCGAAACGTTCCAATCACTAAGGAAACAGCACTTCACATCAAAATAAAAACACCAAGCACTAGCACCAGAAAGAAACCCCAAACTCCCTTTGAGGCACACCCTTGGAAACCAAACCCACAATGTGGAACCCATTTGGGAGTTTGAAACCCTGAAGTGAACATTCACGAAAACCACCGAAACAAAACAACCCAGATCTGCAAGCTAAGTTTGTATCACTAATTGGCCAGAAGGGACAAGGAAAGGCAAGATTTTTCAACGAGGAATCACCTGAAAGGATTCATGGAATGGAACAGCTCAGAGCAAGATGCATTCACACTGAAGAAGCTGAGGAAGTTGCTGGCTTGTACTTGTACTATGCTTCAGATTCTCAAGTAGTTAACAAAGCGTGGAGAATCTGAATCTGGGTAGCTTTAGATTGGAGCATGGAAGCTCAAAAACCCAGAGAATTTGCATGAAATTGAAGGGCATTTTAAGGTTGAGGATACAATAAGTGAGTCTGAAGACCCATGCTTGATTAAGCAGTTCAAAATTAAAGTGAAAACGGGTCAAGGTTCAGGAAAGTGAGCTCTTTTTTTCTTTAATTATTTTGTTTTTTGTGAAAGTTGAGATAAATATTAATAAATAACTAAATAAATAAATAAAAAAGCGAAGCGGAAACAAAAAGGTAGGAAGGATTAAAGAATGGAGTGGACAGCTGAGCAATGCATAACGCACAGTGACCTCTTTCTTGACTAAACCCGAGAAGCAGAGAGAGAGAGAGAAAGAGAGAGAAACTGAAAAGTCAGAGAAGAATGCACACACACGTAGTAGTAATGGGACTGTGATAACTCCTTAAACGGACAAGATCCAAAGTACTCACAAAAAATAGCAAAAGCACATGATAAAGGAAAAAACAAAGTATTTTTATGTTTTCTTTCTACCATTCTCCATGTTTAGTTTACCTACCTTTTTTTTTTTTACTATTAAGAAAGGTCCATTTTTAATTAACCATTTTGGATTTTATTATGTGAGGAATGCTAATAATTCAAATTATAAGTGAAAATTATTAAATAAGAAATAAGTCTCAAAAAGATTTATAGTTTTTAATAATTTTGACAAATAATAAAGAATGCGCTAACATTTTCTTAATAGTATACACTAAAATATGAATTCAAGTTTAAATTAATACAAATAAAAAAATTATAATTATTAAGATGAATAAAAATGAAAAAAAAATATCTTTATTAATCGCGAGTTAGAAATTAAAAAGATACCATAAATAAATACATTTTTTTATTCTAATTTCTAAATTTTTCCTTATATATTTTTATATAAACTCCAAAATTAAATCATGTCATAAGTCAGAAGACTTCAATTTAGATCAAAGGGTATATTAATTAATTAGTACAAAGTTATTTTAATTTAATTAATAACATCTTATTTGAAATCTAAGTATATAAAAGAAAATTTTAGTTGCTCGTAATAATTTTATTTGACATAAATATTAGTTGTATAGAGAATCCGTGTGATCTTTAAAATTTTTTTTGGATTAAATCCTTAAAGTGGTGGATTAGATATTTTAAAAAAATGTAAAAATTAAGAAAAGAGGTTAAAGTTTGTCTCCTTTTTGTTCTTCATCCTCTTCATTTCCATCTTAAGTATTGATTCCATAGGATGATAAACTGAGGCCGGTAGATGTCTTTATTGGAGCCCTGGAAATTGTCGATACCTCACATGCATGGAGTAGCATCACATTTAATTCAATCACCCTTTCACTATGCTGCATTAATTCATGTCATTTTTATTAACACATCCCTTCTTCTTCTTTTTTAACTTTTTAGTACATTTTCTTTTTCTCATTTTTTCTTCTTTTTTCCATGCTCGTTTGCTAACTTTTGCATAACTTTTTTATTTACAATACTAGATTTTTCTTCTTAGTAATTCTCTATACTTTAGTCTCTCTGTCCCATAATAAAATGTACTTTATATATGAAACAAATATTTTCTTTCCCGGTAAATAATAGTATTTACATTGCATAATTAATCTTCTCCTTTTATTTTTAAAATTCCAGTTCTCTCCTTAATTATAATGTAGTTCATTTTAATGTAACAAATCTCTTAAGGCATGATTGAAAATTGGGTGATTTTCGCATTCACTATATAAATGAGTGTTTAACATTTTTTTCCCTGATCATGACTTCCATCTCATTCAAACAAACAAAAATACAATTATGCGGTACAGTTTTTCTATGATGGTGAAATAGTTTCTATAAGATGACGCTGGTTATAGTGGATCATCATAACAGATTGTCCACCGTTGGACAAGTAAACATTAGTTGTTGTTTTTTTTCCTTCTATTTTTTTATTTTTATTTAAAATTTGAATTTTATAAAATACCCTTTTTATAACTAGCATTGCTATATAAGCCGAAACAAATTCTGAATCATCGTCCGAATCTTTAAAATATTAATATCTTTTAATAAATTTATTATAAAATAATTATTTTATTTAATATTTCATTATTTAAATTAATTTTTTTTAATAATTTGGAACAAGTTTCGGAGTCTATTTTCGGACGATGCATCATTTTTCTTTTATAACTCAAGATCTTCTCCTATGTGGTCGCCCTTCTCACCAACAAGTAATTCAGCTTTTGATTGGATGCAATGGCGACAACATCAAATGAGGGATTAGGTTGTCAGTATATGCACGATAGCTACCTTTGTTAATTACATATTCGATCTAACACATATTTGATCTTATTAGATGGCACGACGAGCTTGGCGGTGATGTGGTTCCTATCGTCATCATCACCTGTGCCCTCGATGACACACGTTGATGGATCTGAAAGAGCATGTCTTACGCAGGCAAGACGAGGTTGTTAGTGTCATAGAGGCTATTAAAGTGGTTCATATTGTCATGTAAGTTTTCAACAATAACGCGCTTGGTGGATCCAGAATAACGCATTCTACTTTCTACATAGGCGAGACGAGGTCTCCATGAAGTGAATGTTAAGCAATAAGAATAATGGGTTGAATTATTTTGTTCTTTTAAAAAAATAGTTCTTTATAAAAATCTATTCTTCAAAAGCTATATTTCTGATTATTCAAACTTATGATACTCTTCTCAAAATAGTTTTTGAGTAAGCTAGTTTTCACAATAAATCATGCACCAATAAATATAACATGCAATAAAGTAAATGAACCAAGTAAAAGGATAGAGTTCAAGAGATTTCACAAAATTTTATACATTTAGTCCTCACACAAAATTGTGAAATTTTCACTATCATAGCTAACTGTTGTTCTAGAAACAACTCAACCACCTGCTGATACAATCACACTACTATGCAACCACATACGTACTATTAATGATTTACACTTAGCCACTTGCTGAGATAGCTAACCTTAGAGCCACGTGCTATGAGATCACATAACTACTATTGTGATTTCTTTTTTTCCTTCCTACACCTCTATAACTCAAATATGGATAAGAAAGACTTTTTTACAAAAATGGGTTTTTGCATCCTAACACTCTGCTAGGGTTATAATAGATTATCCTAAGTTGAAGCTTCCACTAAGGAAAATTCACACTTTGTTTTTCTAATACAAGCACTAGTACAAAAGAGGTGTACTACGTCGGATATTTTAGGTTTTTTTACGTCAGAAAACGTACCGATGTAGAAGCGGGAGACATAAATTTTACGTCGGGGCTTCAAATCCGACGTAAATTTACGTCAGAAATTACGAAACCCGACGTAAAAAAGTCGTAAAAAAACAAAAAAAAAAACTTAAGAACGCAGGCAGAACGGCCCGTTCTGCTTGCAGAACGGGCCATTCTGCTTCGTAGAATAACAAAAAAAAACGTCCACTACCTACACAAATAAAACAACCAAAAAATCGAATAAAATAGATAACCAGAGTAGCAATGCTAAGTAGAAAAGTGCTAACGAAACCTTGTTTCATACCTGAGGAGCAGCAACAATGTGCAAATGAGTAACAAAGAGTTCATCCCTCTGCAAAAAACAAGAAAACGATTCAGTAACAAAGAAGAGGGAGAGGGTTTACAGAGAAAAAAATGAAAAGTAATGAAAAGTGAATGCGCGCGGTGTGCCTCGCGCTCTCTTATTCAAATTTGCGTCTTTTTTACGTCGGACCTGCTAGGGTGCGACGTAAATTGGACTTTTTACGTCAGACCTTCCCAGGTGCGACGTAGATTGGACTTTTTACGTCGGACCTTACCAGGTGCGACGTAAAAAAGTTCGCAAAAATTACAAAAATGCCACCGCATTTTTTTTACGTCAGATTTTCATATTTCCGACGTAAAAGGGGTGACGTAATATGCTTATTTTCTACTAGTGAAGATTGATACAAATGTAGAAGTGAAGTTCTCTGAATAAATCATATTATGAAGCAAGATTGAAGTTTTAATAGCTCATGTTTTGATTACTCTTTACGGTCTTGCTTGCTTTAAAATTGTAGTCTTCCTTTTATAGTCACTGAAATAGGTTTATTATGGGTAACTTAGTTTTTAAGTAGTTCTGACCTCATTATACTTTCCTTTTCTAGTACTATCAACTTTTCTTTAGATGATGGTACCTTCTAAGCATACCTTCTCTTCAAACATTATAAGTAGAGTCTTCAGTACAATTTTTTTTTAAGAAGTTGTGTTTTAATTGAAACCTTACGCTAGATGGTTCAAAGTGTAGGTTTTCTTGACCAAGTCTTCAAGACACTCTTCTTAAAAAGGAATGTCTTATAAACTTCAACCATTTTGAATATAGACACATGATGCTCATCTTCTTTCTTAGGACTATCAAGACCTTGATGTTAAATGACATTTTAAATAGATTAAATAATGTCTTCTTTTGAAGTACAATACTTAGACAACCTTTTGAGTACTTAAAAAATACTTTTGAAACACTTGAATAAAATTGTTAATAATTCACATAATAACTCTTTTATATTAAAATTTGAAACTAAAAGTTTGTTATTATTAAAACACATATTCAAAGAGGATTCAACACACTCAAATAGTGTCGTCAAGGCAGTTAATCTCCTCAGAGGTGCTATTAATGGTGATGACACATTTGTCACAGTTGAGGAACACTTGCCGATGCAAATCTTGGCCTTGGAGATGGCACAAAGTTGCTTGACAATGTCACTACTGCGATTGATGATGTTACCGTTCTTGTAGAGGAGGCAAAG